GTGGTCGAAATAATCGATACATATCACAATCTCAAGAAACCAAAAGTAAGCCGTGTGACAGCCATAGCATTTGGCAATATCGGATTGTATCTTAGTCTTTGAATTTAAACAGTACAAGCGTGCACTAACTCATGGAGACATAGAAAGACTAATCTTAAACACTCATCCTTTTTTATTAAGCACAAGAAAATACTCTTTGTGGTTCTAGCCTAAACACCCAAAACTTTGTTTAGATTAGTTTGAAACACCAAATAATCCAATTTTAAAACCATTAAGAACTAAATAACGTCCATCAAAATGAAGAGTTGAGGTCTAAAATGCTAATTTAAATGAAATTAATAACTATTTGAATAAAATTGAGCATCTTCTAGCAGGTTGTTAGCTTGGTGCCTGGTCATGATCAAACTTTCAATTGTCTAGTAAAATAAATTGACAACTTCTTGCTTCCTATGCTCTAAATTTTTGGATCTTTAAGGAGGGCATAACTCTATAATTTGTTGCGTATGCCAAATTATGAAATGAGAATAAGTGAAGGAAAAGCGTAAAGAAATTCACTCAGGATTGTATACAATGAGACCATTCACTTTTAGTACAAGATGGTCAAGCCATTAGATATGAAATCTAATAGATTGAAGTACGTCGCAACATTCGAGAATTTTCATTTTGGACTCAGTGCTCAATCAATTACTCATCTTCAACTGTCCGATTTACTTCCAACGATCAATAATGACGGTGACATCCTTGTATAAAAAATATGGTACCGTAATATAGGGTAGTATCAAAAATTATAATGTTACCTGAAAGCAGCTGGTATTTCGGGAGAATGGAAGGATGGGTGCACAATGACCTTGAGAAAGTCTCCAACAAAATACTTGCTACGGACCAAGTTTATTTTCATTTAAGCCACATTTAGGGTTGGAACTACAAAGAAGCATCAATGTCTACTCAGGTGACTCCCCCACAATTTTTAAGGTCCTGAATTCTGAACAATATTTCTAACATAAAACAAACAATTTTCAGCTTCGGAACCAGGAACAAAATCAGCATTTAAGTACGGAAAATGTTTATATAAGTGCGAGGCACTAAATAAGTAAATTAATGCATACCTCAAAAATTCATTAAAAAATGTTGTTTCAATACTGAAAAGCAGCCCTCAATTCGACCATCTCAACCTCAAGATGTATAGACATGAGAAAAAACAGTTCTCAAGTATTGAACATAGTGTATATTGTAATATATTATCTAGATCGTCAATTTTCAAGACTTTTAAATGTTCGTAGATTTGATTGATCTACATTATTTTTAACTTTAAATTTTATTATTAGAAATAAAAATAAATGTACAAGCCATAAAAAGATTTCTAATATTAAAACGACATATTTTAGTACTATTTAAAGGTGCGGCCTATTTTGATTGATTAGAGCCTTGGCTTTATACAAATCACACCCTTAAGTATTTGGCTCAAGTAACGTAAATAAGTCAAACTACCACAATGCAATGCCCTCATGTTAAGAATTCAAATTCAAATCTTTTGTAACTATCGAATCAATCTCCAATCTCTACAATCAATAATTTCTTTATTTTCAATCCCTACAATCAAAGGCTTACAATTGACTCCAAATCCTTACAATCCAGAGATTCCATTATTGACTTTCAATCCTTAAAATCAAATAATTGTATCCTACAGTTAAGTGATTACAATTCTTGTACTTCTATATAAACAAGCATTAAATCTCTTGAGAGTATTTCTAATCTTTATATCTCTTGGGAGGTTTTTAATTCTTGACATGGGAGTTTTTCTAATTTTCACAAGGTATCAGAGCGGATATTGTCTGAGTATCTTGTGCCTCCCCTATCATGGCCCTACAAAAGTGAGGTCTTCCCTTTTAGAGTAAGCCATTCTCTCCCTTCTCTCTCCTCGAGTCTTTTTTTTTCAATCACCCACCAATCCTACTAAACTACCCGATGGTAGGATGGCATCTGTTTTACACATTGCTACCATTGTCATTTCTAATTATATCTTCTTACAAAATGTTTTATGTGTTCCTTCATTCAAATGCTGCAGTCTATTATCTCTTGAGAAACTTGTTTATGATCTCAACTATTCATTAGCAATTTTTGCAACACATTATATTATGCAGGATTAGTTAATGAGGAAGATGATTGGAGCGAGTAGAGAACAAGGTGGACTTTATCTGTTCCAATCTTCTAACAATGTAATTGCTTCCTCTGCCCAACACTCACAATCCATTGACATATGGCACCAGCGTCTTGGCCACCTGTCTAATGCTCCGTTACAAACTCTTATCAAGAAACATTTTGATCTTTTTATTTAGTTGATTGCCAATGTCAGGCATGCCCTAAAGGAAAACAATAGCGACTATCTTTTCCATGTAGTTCACCTTTTCCACTAATTCATTGTGATATATGGGGAGGTTATGGTTCCCCATCCTTTCCTGGCTTCTGTAATGTCATTTATGGGGCGTAAGGCCCATAAATCTAAAAATACATATTTTTCAACATGGTATCATAGCAGTTGAATAATATCGTAGACATACATTTCTTTATATTGGTTCTTGCTAGAGCAACAGGGGGAGAGCATAGGAAGACAGAACTGTAAGAATGTAGCGGCGAGCCCTGAAATGAAAGATGGAGAGATATAGGGAGAGAGGACGCAAGCACTGCCAGAAAAGCGGGCTTCAAAGAGGGAGGTGAGAGAGTGACGAAAGAACAACAGTGGGGAGTCGCTGAGAGAGCATAATGATCATGGTTCCCTTTTGGAATCATTTTGTTTTTTTCGTATTAAAATTTGAATTCCCAACCCATCAGTTGATCAACATTACAATTTCGGTATTCTCTAATTCATGTTGGAATGCATTTTAAAATAATAAAAAACTTAAATGCTAAAATCGTTGATTTAACCACCTCATTCATGTATTATTTTAATTGTTTTAATCAATTTAATGATCTCTTCCCTTATCTCTCTTGGTTGGGAACCAAGTATTACAAAATGTTACTAAAGTTAATAGCAATTGTTCGACAACCCGCCCCGGTCGAATCGAAAACCGGTCGGATTACTTGGAACCCGCCACTAGCCCTGGCTGGTTTTGGGCTTTTAGGGTTGTCAATCGGCTTGACCACCCCAATTTGAAAATAAAATTCAAAAAATTTATAAACATCTAAAAAAAAAAAAGGATTTTGTTTGTAATGGTTTCATTTCATGTGTTCTATTGTTTTGAAAAATATTGGAAGTATTTTAACTATAAAAACTTGATTTTACATTTCCCTATATTTTTGGATTATTTCTAAAATATCTTTGGGAACAAATTGATTTTTTAAAGTCTATTTTTTCACTACTTTTTTAATCTCATTTGGATGTATTTTTTTAAATTACACTTTAAATATACTTTTGATTTCTTTGAAATTTTTTTAGATTTGTTTAGTTTTTTTTTTACCCCTTTTTTATCCCGGTCGGGACGTGCCTGGTTAGGGCCGATTCCCCATATCGGTTCTCGGTTCTCGGACGCGGCCATGAGACTCGTTCGTGCAATCGAGCACTAGTTAATAGTTTTTTATATTCTTCTTCCCAAAATTCATAAATATTTATTGCCTTACTATATTAGAAGTGATCACAATATTCGAACCAACCAACTTCAATGAAAAATAAAAACAAAAATAAAAAACAAAAAAATTCTACTCTGCAGTTCGGACTCTTGTGTAAAAAACGAATGAGGTCCCCAAGATAAATAAATATTGTTCAACTTTGTTGGGGGAATAACTAGACGATCAAGTTTTCAAAACCTTTTTTTTGTATTTCTTTAATCTACTGATATATATAGATCTTAAAATTACTCTAGAAACTCTTTCCATGTATCTATTTTTCTTAAGAGAAGTTAATTTTTAGGAAAATTATAGATACCCCTTGATATATGGCTAAAATGATGATGACGAGAGATACCCCCTTGATTTAGGCATGCCACTCCCAATATTTCATAATTCACACTCCTAACCCTAAAACGTTTTGTATTTCCAATCACCCCTGGAAGTTAAAAAGTAGGCATTATTGGACCAAAATAAATCTGTTTAGGCGATATTTTCCACTTCTTTTAAGCTGGTTCAGCATATAATGTGCTAGACTGGCACAACTTGATATAGAACCGGGCCGGTGGATTTTTGGTTTCAGACCAGCACCATATTCATGTTGTACTTGTCCAGCATATCTGGTTTGACAAACTTTGTGTTAGGATGATCATATTTTTGTGCCCGACAAAAAGTTTATATAAGTGCGAGGCTCTAAACAGCCAAATTAGAGTACACCTCAAAACTTCCGCATGAAGAGGTTGTTTTGATGCTCAAATATCCTCAAATTGATCATCTTGACCTCAAGATTGATGGACATGAGAAAAAAAGAATAGATTTCAAGTTTTGAAAATAGTGCATCTTATAATGTATTTTAAACCGTCAATTTTCAATATTTTCAATTTTTCAAAGATCTGCTTGATCTATAATATTTTTGAAGTTTAAATTTTATAATTAAATATTAAAATATATTTTAAGGCCATCACAAAGATTTCCAGTTTTGAAACCAAATTTCTTGACGCTATTTAAAGATGCGCTTTATTTTGATTGTTTAGAGCCTCCACTTTACACAAAGTTAAACTAGTGGTATTCTAGTCCAAAAAAAAAACAGTTTTTTTCCTTGGGATACGATGTCTTGAGCCTCAGCTCTATACAAACCACACCCTTTGGTATCATGAGTTTAAAGTTTATAGTGGTGGTATTCTATTCCAAAAAAAATAAGTTTTTCACTTGGGGATACTTGGGGTAAAAACTTGGGGGGTACTTGGGGTTGGTACTTCAAAGAAAGAACTCACCCAATAGTAGGAAGAACTAGAAAGTACAAAATGGAGGGTTTTTGTAAAAAAAAATTTTTTTTTTTTTAATTATTTATAATTTCTTTTCATTTTAGTAAAGTTAATGATCGACCCTTGAAAATTTACCTCGTCGACCTGTGTGTTGAAACTCGTGCCGTAACGGATTGGATCCAAAACTTGTTTCCCCGTGTACTTCAAACAGGAAGATCAAAAACGTCTTTAGCCAATCTAGCATCCCCTTCATCAAACTTTCCGGCACCCCATGGTTCACTAGCTGCAATTTTTAATACAACAAATAAAACATGAACCATTTAAAAATCTATTCCAACTCAGACCTTGTGCACTTTTAATACGTATTTTGAAATTACATAAAAAGTTAAAAAAAAAATACTATATCGTTCCTGTTTTATTGGTATTTTGATTTACTTTTTTACAATTTTTTTAGGGAAAATTCATATAGAACCCTAATTTTTCATATTATTTCATGATAGACCCTCTTTCCGTTTTTCTTTCAAGCGCTATAAAAAAACCCCTAAAGATTTTAACCCACCCCCTCATCTCTTATCTTCCTCTTTGATTGACTTTTGACCATAAGAATTAGTTCTAATAAAAAAATTATACCATTTCAACCTAAAAACTTTTTTACTTAAAAACTTTTTTACTTTTTTTTCCTTTTCCACCCATTAAAAAAGTTTTTGAGTTGAAATGGTGGTATAAAAATATTTTTTGGGGTTAATTTTTATGATCAAAAGTCAATAAAAGATGGGGATAAGAGATGAGGGGGTATGGTAAAATCTTTAAAGATTTTTTTATGCCGATTGAATGAACAAAGGAACGAGGGTCCACTATGACATAATATGAAGAATTAGGGTTCTATACGAAATTTTTCCACTTTTTTAAATAGAAAGTAAATTACAGCACTCAGTGACTCTCTCTCACTGACATGCACGGTCTCCCCCCTTCCTCTCAAACTCACCCTAAAGAAACCCCATATAGCGCACGCCTAAGCAAGGTTGTGAATAGCCTTCGACCTCACCGTGGCTTCTTTGGCATGCAGGAATGAGAAATCGATGGTCGGAAGTTGCTCTTCCACTGATGAAGAAGAAACGTTAGAAGCGGTTAGGTCCAGTGGAAATGCATGAGTTGGGGGTATCGATGTAAGCAGGCCGAACTTTGCTAGTTCTTTTAGTCCTTTTGCCCCATCAAATCCACTACCAGAGGTTGGCATGGCAGGTACAGGAGCTCCTTCAATGGCCTTCCCAGAAACCATATCTCTCTCTCTCACTTTCTCTCTGCGGCCCTTCCCTGTGAATGTGTGCACTACATGGCAGTGAACATGGCCTTAAATGTACTCTTAACATGTACGGTCTAAACCTTGGACCACAGGCTTTAAATTCATGCCAAGCTAGTCCTTCCCCTGCTAAAATGAATCCTTGACAATTTTGATGGACGCCTATGATATATCCAACGGTGCAGTTTGTATAGAGCTGAGGCTCTAAACAATCAAACTAATGCCCATTGAGAAATGTGGTTTCAATACTAGAAATCTTTGTAAAAGTCTCAAACTATATTTTTATTTTTAATTATAAAATTTAAAGTTTAAAAAATAGTGTAGATCGAGCATATCTATGAAAACTTAAAAATCTTGAAAATTGATGGTCCAAAGATGCTTTACAAGATGCACTATTTTCAAAACTTAAAATCCATGTTTTTCTCATGTCCATACATCTTGATGTCGAGATGATCAGTTTAGGAATATTTGAGCATCAAAGTGACTTCTTTTAGTAAAATTTTTTAGATGGTCTCAAATTTGATTGTTTAGAGCCTCGGCTCTATATAAACTTTTTCTATATTTTAAAAAAAAAAAACATTTATAAAAAAGTGAGACCCTAAATAATCAAATTATGGCGCATCACAAATATTCACTCGAAGAAGAGGTGTGTATGTAGGTAGCACAAGGGGAATGTAAATAAAAGATTTCTAGCTACTCCATTGGCAGGCCTACCTACAAGTGCCACTTAAAATGAGAAAATAATCCAAACAAACCTATTAAAACCTTAGGATCCGTACTTGTTTACTTAAAATATGCTTCTTTTATTTATAAAATCGTAAAAATACAATGCATAGCAGCATCAAGAAAAATGTGAAAGCATTTACTGAAATTTCTTGTATTATATTACTTCTAAAGGAATTTGCATGCCCCACACCGGATCACCTAGCTCCAAAGCTCACTGTTCTAGATCCCTCATATATCTCTTTTAGATGGGAAACTTCAATGGTACTCGAAGGGGAAAATGAGAGAGCACAAGTAAGAGTTGTATGTCATGTAGACACACTGCACCATTACACCATAAGATGAAAACTAGGGTTTTTCTTGTTCGGGTTGCCACATTTGGGGCTTTTACTTGAAGCGTTGTACCCCCTCTGGGCATGAGAGAGAAAAGAAAGGGTACATGAGGGAGAAAAGACAAACATGGAGAGTGGGGCGTGTGGGGTAGAGAGAGGCCACACATTTGTGTATCAGGGTTCATCTATAAGGTGTACTTATAATGGTGTGTGGGAATTCAGGTTTGGGAATGCCATGAACAGGGGAGGGAAGCCTCTATTTGCCGAATTCCGCCAGTGAAGGCTATGTAGTGGGTCACCCAGAAATGGGAACCAGGGATGGGTCGGCGCAGGAAGAAGGGGGCAGGATGGGGGAATCAAAACCCAGTCACCAATGCTAGTGCTCACAGTTTATGATCTATCTTCTTACACCAACCAAACCTAACCTATGACCCACAATCTATTGTACGGGTTCATGCTTGGCCAATCCAAGTTGGCTAATAAATGGAGATAATGTGGGCTTATTTTGGACATGTATATGGTAAAGACATGGCTATCATATGAACATGTTTTACAGGTTTCTCCTTAACGACAAGTCATATCTCATATGGACACGTGAACACTATCATAATGATGTAAGAGCTTCTTTTCAGTGCATACACACGTCATACCCAACGTTGCTTCCCAAATACATGGCTCTCATATGTCAATGTTGTACAGTGGTAAAGAAAAATCAAAATATAAGTATTCGAAAGTAAAATGAGATGTTGGTTTTCTTTTTAATGAGCAAAGATCAAGGAAGGAAATGCGAAACTATAAGTTTAAAGGTAAATAATGCACGGATTTATTTAAAAACTGATTTTTTTTTTTTCTAAAACTTCCTTTGAACAAGCAAAAGTGGGAAGAGAAATTCAAAAGAAATTCTAGGTAGATCAAAATCTTTTAGTAAATTGTGAGCCCATTACACGCATGCAGAAACCCTGCCAGAAATTCTAGGTAGATCAAAATCTTTTAGTAAATTGTGAGCCCATTACACGCATGCAGAAACCCTGCCAGGCTCGCATAGCACGATCCTAGCAGAGTCTTGCATGAGCCACCCATGATCACGGTGTGTTTTCAATCACCCACTATCCTTTTTTTCTTGAAGCTCCCTATTTTACTATGGAATTACAAACAATAACCCGAGAAATTTAGCGTTATTTTTTTTGTCAGTTTATGTGAATTTTAGTTTGATGGGCCCTACGGTGGGTATCAAACTGTTTATATGTGAAGTTGTGGCAAAAAAACACACTCTGCCTGATTTCATGTTTAACTCGATCGATCAGAGGTAAAAAAATAAGGTTCCATCTAATTATGGATCACAAACGGGGTCTTCACAGCCTTCGTCATTTGTGGCCATTAACTGCTCCAGCTAAAATCCACCTTAAACCAAAAGGAAAAGGAAAAGGCAAAAGAATAAGGTTCCATCTAATTATGGATCACAAATGGGGTCCTCACAGCCTTCCTCATTTGTGGCATTGACTGCTCCAGCTAAAATCCACCTTAAACCAAAAGGAAAAGGAAACAGTTTATATAATGTTGCAACCTTAAAATGTAGAACTACGGATGCATATAAAAAATCCATCGAAAAAATGTTATTTTAATGTTGACAAACCCTCTAATAGACCATCTGGACATCGAGATGTATGATTATCAAAGAACAAAGGATTTTGAGTCGTAGAAATAGTGCATCTTACAACACATTTTCTAGACCATTCATTTTTTAAATTTTCATATGGTTATAGATCTACTTGATTTTAACCATTTTTGGAATTTCAAATTTTATAATTAGATATGAAAATAGATTTTGGGATAATCCTAAGCATAGTTTACATCAAAATTATATGTTATGATCAAATTTGAAGATGCACCTTAATTGGATTGTTTATGGTTGCAAACTTATCAAAACGACACCCAAAAGACAAATATCTTGGAAAAGCTTTGGTAAAATAGATAGGATTTTGGAAAAAGTCTTTGAAAAGGATAGCAACGAATAAACTAAATAAATTATACATAAAAATGTGCGAAAAGAAAGAATATAGAGTGTGGGCCTACTTGTAAGTTGGTCCCATCGGCTTGGTACCGAAGTTGGGGGCTTAAGCCAGAGTAGCCGGTACAAGACGACCGTTCTACTTGCCCTTCGGAGTTGTTGAGCCAAAGATGCTCATTAAGACTTCACGGTGAGAGGGGAGCACGAAAGTCTAGGATTTAGGTGTGGTAGTCCACGGTCAGAATTTTAGAGTTTTGGGGGCTTTGTGTTAGGCTAGAGGGCTGGAGGCTTACAAGAATTGCATGAACCTCTGAGGAGTCTAAGGCTAGGCTTATGTTGAATAGGATTTTAGGGTTCAAGGATCCTATTTGGGGAAGCTCGGTGTAAGTAGACCAAGTTCCCCTCGAAATTGAAGTTAAGATGGCATTTTTTTATAGGGAAAATTATAAAAAACCCCAAGAATACATTTTCTATACAATTTACCTCTAACCTAATTTTTTATCGCACTTTTTTCCCCTAGACAAACTTTTTATGCAAATACCCGCAAGGGAAAAAGTTCATTCTCTTTAGATGGAAATGTCGTTCCTGTACACAAAAATCATTTTGGCTAGATTTGACGTTGACTTTTGACCCCAAGAACACATTGTCAGAGCGCACCATCACATTGCCAGATCATCTACTGCTGGACAGCCCTTTGCAACTATCGGACCTCACTTTACACCGTGTTGGAGCCTTACTGCCTAACCGCACTTTACACAGTGCCGGAGCCCTACTGCCAAACCGCACTGTACACAGTGCCAAAGGTAAAAGTAATGAGACTGTAGTTTAGGTATTTTTTTATTATTTTTTTGGTTGGGGGCATTTGCATAGAAAGTATCTTTTATGAAAAAAAAAGTGAGAGAAAACATTAGGTTGGGGGTATGATTATAGTTTTGGGGGTTCTTTCGTAATTTTTCCTTTTTTATAGGCTAAGGTCCCATGCACCTAATATTTTGTGCTTCATTAAAAGAGGGGGATTTTGGAGTGTAATGAAGGGGATTTTTTAGGGGGTTATTTGCTACTAGGACACATTACATAATTCCAATTTTTACTTTAATTGTAATGAGAAACTAAGGTTTTAAGGCTACTCAAAGGTGATTAAGCCTAAACTAGGAGTTTGGTTAATTATGGGCCCCAATGGGGTGTATACAGTATGGGGCTATGGTGCACTAAGGTGTACGATACTTGTATGATTCCTAGTGCAGTTTAGGTTAAAATTGTGTTTAGATGAGGTAAAACCTAGGATTTTGTATGGAACGGGTCTAGGAATGGTCTGGATCAGGGCTCTATGGTCTTGGGGTCATAGGTATCATAGAAATCCCTTAGCTAGAGTAGGGTGCCTACAACATGAAAGCATGTAAGACAAGGTTTTCACCAATGGGTGGTTGCTTAGCTTTGGGAGCATCCCTTCTCCTGTAAGGTCGACTGGGATTGATGAACCAGATATACTGGTTATCGGATGACGAGGTGATCGAGACCGCTAGTCTTGTCAAGGAACATGATCTAGAGTCTGAATACTTAAAACCTTGGCTTGAAAGAGTTTACATGAAAGCCTATGTGACACCGGGTTTCACTGATGAGTCGTTGGTTACCTGGGACCAATCCTTCCTATGGTGTTAAGTTGAGGAGTTGGGTGCCACTTATGGGTATTATGTTGGCTAGAAGTCTGAATGGATGCTCTAGATCTAGGGGGGTCCTGATTTATTTAAGCAAGGACCACCTATCTCCTTGATGACACAAAAGCATCCACATTTTGAGTGTCATCCAATACCTGGGCTTTGGCCCTCACACGAAAATACGACAATCAAGTTGGCGCATGACTCCAAGACCTTGGAAAATCCATCCAGGCCCTAGGTGCTACCTGATTAATATGCTTCTGAGGGTGCATTAAGGGTGGGGAAGTCATCGATGTGGAGACTAAGCTGCCCAACTCTGGACTGGTACATGCTAGGGTTGAACTGATTATAATGTCGCACATATGTCGAAGGATGCTAACGTACTTTACGCTAGTTTCCTAGTTTTAA